AATTTGTATCAGAATAAGAAGTTTTCTTCACTTATTTTTTCATTTGATTAACTGATACAGTATGTTCAACAACAACAATAATAGTTTTTCGTTAAAATATTTAATTATTACGGTTCCAATGTCACATTCCACGCAGCAATCACATTGTTTACGTTTCAATGCGATTTATTGTTATGCATTTTAAGCGACAATGACATCGTCCACTATATTTTGATGTGATTGTTATTTTTTCGGTGGAAAATAGGTGAACGGTGTTAACAGTATATTCGTGTGCTGATTTGTGACCAACCATACATACAAATTTGAAAATTAATCAATAGATATGCCTGGTGGTGTTTAAAAACGGCCGTTCATAAGCATATATTGTTGAATTTATTGCAAAAGTAACCTTCTACCATGTGCGCATCGGAGCACATTAACATATTTCTTCTTGTTTTTTGTTGTTGTTGTTGTCTCTTCTCCAATGTGCTTGCGGCGTTGGTGTTGACCACAAACAATTGTAATTGTATACAAGTATTTCACACTCATAAATAAATCCAAAACGGTTGTTGGACATGAAGAAGATGAACAAACAAAACCGAACAACTCAACGCCAACATCAAATATTTTATTTATTTGACTTATGAAATTCACTTTCGAACAGAGAGAGGGAGAGAGAGAGAGATAGTGTGTGCGAGAGAGAAAAAATAAATCTATATACATGCAACGTATGTGAGGCATAACAAAGCGTTTGATTGCGTATGTATATCAACAAGAGAAGTAGAAGAAGACCAACAATAATCCATCGAATTCTTGGTATGGCACACTGACGAACCATTTATAAACATACATATTAATTGGCTTATAGTAATATGTATTAATGACATCGACGTTTTTGCTTTCATTTTATATGGCGATGTCATTTTTTCCTCTTTCATGTCCCATGTGGTTTTTCTTTACTCGTACTTGTCGCTGCGAACATGTGACACTTCAATGTATGTGTGTTGATTCAATTACATTGCACGTTGTTTGATATGTGTGCACGATACTCCATTGTAAATTTGATAAATTCCTTCCACAGCCAAAATAGCTGTTGATACCTGACGTTTCTCAAAAGCAAAGAAAAAAACCATTATAAGCGTACAACGAATTATTGTTTAGTTCATAGTCATTCGTTTCGATTCGAAACAGTCACAATTCGTCGGTTGTTGTGTTTGGTTTGATTTTTAAGTGTACTCGCAACACGCAAATATCAAACATCTCTATTCAAATCGATGACTTTGTATTGTTTTTTTTTTTTTTTTTTTTTTTGACATATTTGAAGAATGAAAGTGATTTTAATAAGAAAAAAATTTGTTCTCTGATTTTTGCCACGCAACGAGCACAGAACCGTGAAATAAAACAAAAACGCCAAAAACCTATGCCAAGTATTGTAGTTAATAACAATTATTTGTATGCGTGTCTCAGATGAGTTTTTTCGGTTGTTGTCGGTCAATTGAGTCGATTTTTGTACAAACGGAACAAGAGGGAGAAAATAATTAGAGTAAAATATTTCGTAAAAGTCGTTGGCAGTAATAAGCATTTGTATTTTGTGCATGACAAATTCACAAAGCATTGTGACCGACACTGAGCGTTGTGCTTAATAAATTGACGTACATCAAATATTTAATTAGAAATCAAGTGTGTATGTAAAGAAGTGGTAGCAGCATATACATTGGAAAATTGTAATTGAATATAAAACATTGAGTGAAGCAATACACAAAGAAACCAAGAAGACAAAAATGCCGTCATCAGTAACTTTAGCTATCAAAAGATTCAAAAATCGATTTGTAAGTCATTGTATTATTTTGTGAGTGTGTGTGTGTGTGTGTGTGTGTGTGTGTGTGTGTGTGTTATTGACAAACACTTTGAATTATGCAGAGAACAGCGTTTTTCCCATACTTGATCTTAATGCAAAAGAATTGATGATTCACACTGTGTTTCTATTCTATTTATTCACATTCTTTGGCACGTTTGATGTGAATAATGAATCATATTCTATCACTGCTATTCGAACACAACCGATTGATGTTATTCATTTATTTAGTAGAAACGGCACATGGATATACAATAAGTAAAGCAAAAAAAAAATAAAAAAATGAATGAGCCAGTGACTACAATATCAACGGGAAATGTTTATAGGGGCAATATAACGAATTATTGAAATCATGAAAAAATGAATGGAATGTTCGAACATTTTATCAAACACTGAAATTGAATCAAATCAAATCAGTATCAATTAACAGAATAAATAATTATTACTTACAAAATCATCAGAAAAACACATATATCGCGTCCAAACAATAACAATCACATGTGATAAGTGATTCATATTGAAAGAGATGATCCGCACTCAAATAATGCTTGTTTTGTTGTTATGTTTTTTTTTTTTTTTTCAAAATTTTATCGCTCATCTCAAAACATTTCTGCATGACATCCGCTCCAAGCGATGAGATTATTTTTATGTCTCACATTTTACAATTGGGAATGTGGACGTGTCATTTTGCCTTTTTGAGGCTGCAAGTCGACTGTGTTCAGATCATTTTAAATTAGTGCAATTGCCGGGTAGACGAAAGAATTTTCATGGCTCAATTATTTGAAAAGTGCCTCAATGTATTTATAGCAAATATGAATTAAAAAAATTGACGAATAAAGATAGTTATAATATGATTTCGATTTGATTATTTTAATTTCAGGAAGGGCCACATTCAACGCTTCCAGAAGATGAATTCTTCGATGCCGTCGAAACGGGATTGGACAAAATCGAAGAAGATCGACAGTTAAGAGTTCGTCTAAAACTACAATCACAACAGGTAAACTTGATATGTATTTTTTTGTTGCTTTGTGAGTCTTCTGTTATTCAACTCGAAATGATTAAATAATTCAATTAGTGTGCATATGGTGTTGATGAATATTTAGAAAAGTGTTTTTAATTTTAATTTTCGAGCTATTGCTGGACTTGTTTCCAAATCGAAAATCGATATCATATTATGTCAGCCAAATGAATGGTTTTTGTTTCAACGGAAACAAAATGACGCACATTCATTGAATTAATAATAAACAAAAATAAGTGACCACATTTGGGATGATAGCTTACATAGCAAACAATAAGCATAATTTACATGTGCATTTTATTTATGTGAACATTTTATGTTGATTACCAATTTCAAATTTAATTTATGTCGATGATCTCATTTGATATGTTTTTATCAGTAAATCGCCCTAATTTAATCGTCATTTCTTTTCTTCTTCTTCTTTTTCATTTGTCATTTATGTTCGTTTGTCACAGTCGCAAAGCAGTACGAATAGCTCAACGGTGATACCAGACGAATGTGAAGACCAAGTAACGGAAAAAGTTGATGATGAATTTGGTACCGGAAATGCGGCTAAGGTGCATCGATTATGGCCTCAAATTGATGATATTTGCAAAGAACAATTGCATTATGCACGACAAGGTGTTGGTGAAGGTGGCAACGGATGGCAATTATTTGCCGATGAAGGTGAAATGAAAATGTATCGCCGTGAGCAGGAAATTGATGGAATGGTCGTTGATCCATTGAAAGCATGTCACATTGTAAAAGGTGTTACAGCTCGCGAAATGTGTCACTACTTTTTTATGCCGGAATATCGTAACGATTGGGAAAGTACGTTGTTGTTTTTTTTGCTCTTTTTTTATTTGTGTCTCTGTCTTTCGAAATTTTCTTTTTTGACATATTTATTTATGAATATTTGAATATCAATAAATTTATCATCAACAGCAACATTGGACGATATGGCAATTATTGAAAAAATCTCACCTGATAGCATAGTCTTTTTGCAAACGCATAAGCGAATTTGGCCAGCTAGTCAACGTGATGCATTGTTTTGGTCGCATATGAGAAAAACAACCGATAAAAAAGATGAAACCGCACACGACGAATGGTTGGTGTGCAATCATTCAATCAATTTGGATGCATATCCAGCCAATACAGGCAAATGTGTTCGAATTTTTTTAACAGTCATTCTATTTTGTCAAACATACATCGATCCAACGATTATTGCCAGCGGAACCAAACCAACACGTAACGATCTTACCTGTAAAATCACCTATTGCTCTGAAGGTAAATATCTTTTAATGTTTCTTTTACAAAAAGAAAATAGATTTAAACGTTTTTTTTTCTTTACTAATTTCGTGTGTAAACAGTAAATCCTGGCGGATGGGCTCCAGCATCAGTTCTTCGTGCTGTATATAAACGAGAATATCCAAAGTTTTTGAAACGCTTTACCGACTATGTGATCGAACAGTGTAAAAATAAACCAATTCTGCAATGAGGTCCAAATTCCAAGATTGTTGGCAACCAGCGTTCAACCAATGGATGTCATTGTCGAAAGCAAGCAGCACAACCAATTTAAACGGAACCTTTTTTTTGCTGACAATGTTGACGACATATATACACAAATTTACATTCTACCGATAAGAATTATGTTTCTCTAAAATAAGAACATTTCTATGTATAAAACAAAAATAAACAAGTACTTTGCAGAGAAAGCAGAGAGTCTCTCCTGACTTTATTAAATTTATAAGCAACATATTTTTCTATGAGAGAATATTTTAATCATTTAAATTTTGTGTCTTTTATTTCTCACGCATTAAAAAAAATGATCTATGGTTGATTGAACATAACAGAAGCAAATCTTTTCAATCTATTATTTTTCCCAAATTTTCAATACACCAAGTAAGTCTAGTTTTTGAGATAATATCCGTTATGTGTCCGGCCGAACGGTAACTTTTTGGTTTTTGGCCAATTTGGCCACTCAAACTTGAAATTTTGGACCGCAAATGACACCATTCGATAGCTGGCTTTAAGACCTTTCCAATGATATGCATATGTCCGGGGTGTGTCAAGTGGATGTGCCTCGGTGACTGCAGGGACAAAAGTCAAAAAGTGACTTTTGGAGACCGGCCACGGCCAACATGGTGGCCATATCGAAAAGTGCCGGAACAAAAAAGTCTTAGTTTTTGTGTACTTTAATCCCATAAAGTTTCAAAAAGATCAGAAACAACTACGCAAAATCGCGGACACACAGACATTTTGATTTTTCATAGAAATTCATATGAAATTTTTAAAATAATAAATTTTTCGAACGGAATGATCGATTTCGACGTTTGAGGTATCGTTGGAAACGTATTGAGCTCTCGAATCAGAATATCGATGTTTCAGTTGTAAACGACCTCATTTAGTGCCATCTATGGCCATAAAACTGAATATTGACCCTTTTCTTGAAAGGACCATATTTTGAAGACAGGTCGACCGATTTTCGAACTTTGATATTTTTTCTTGATCTATGGCTCAAGGGCTTTCCAACTATACACCAATCGCGGCTATAGGCCTTCCAGGCTAGAATTTAGAAATTACGTGTATATATAGCGAGTTCGACTTTTCAACACACTAATGTGGTTTCGTCACTCGCGCGAACTGCCGTCCGCTGTGATAAATTGAACAATAGTTGAATTAATTGAATTAACGTGTTACAAACAAATTAATTTGGTGTATTCGATACAGTTGATCTTATTAAAGATTATATAAAAAGTATATTTTTTTTTTTTATTGCGCAATGTGCATACAAGTTTCAGAAAATTTCGTGCAACAAGCGGGTGGTATTTAACCAGAAGGACATCTACGACAGAATTTTTTGGAAATGATTTTAAAAAAATGTGCCCAATTTGTGCCATTTAGTGCCGTCAAAAAAAATCTGTGCCCGAAGGGTTGATATGAATATGGCATGTGGTTTTTGGAGGTTAGGGGTAGTTTTTTCAAAATTTTGATTGGGGGCGAAAAAGAAAAATCTAATGATGTCAAAAATGTGTGCCCAATTTGTGCCCAAGATTGGACATATTTTCCCGTCATCCCCTATAAAGGGGGTGGGTTTCTGGACATCGACTTTTTCAGGGGTTGAAAAATGCATCCCTTTTTGATGCCAAAAATATGTGCCCAATTTGTGCTCTCGATTAGTACCTTTGGTCAGTATTTTATTTGGGGTTAAAAAATTAACTACCCCAAATCGATAAAAAATGATTTGACAAATGATGTCAAAAATTTGTGATACAGTTTCTTTGAAAAAATCACAAAAAAATTGAATTTTTGTATGCTACTTTAATGACGTGAAACTTTGTACAGACTATTTTTTACACAAAAAATGACATTAAAATGATAACAGACATGGCTCCCATACAAAAATTCAAATTTTTTGTGACTTTAGTTATGAAAAGTGTTTCAAAAATAATTTTTATGGAAAAATTAACGTCAGACATATTTTTATAGCGCTTTGTTAGAAAATAGAATACTTTCAAATATCATACAAATGAGTTCATCATGATAGTGTGAAAAATCTTTTGCGTGTTCTTCTGCTATTAAATTAAAGAATATTTCGATGCCGAATATATATAGTTTGATAAAATACGCATCTACCACCGTGCGGAAAAGTTCGTCTTACTCCCGTAAGACTCTTTATTTGCATTTCAACCCCAAAATCGGATTTTCGATTTTGAGGTTGCGAAGAGAGCACTAATTCCAATTTCACTGCTATTGAGTGGCACAAATTGGGCACAAATTTTCTACATCATTTGTTTATTCATTTTTGATCGGTATTGTATATTTGATTTTCAGCCCCAAAGCCATGTGGGGGGTGAATTTTCAAAATTGTGATGGGGATGAGCACTAAATCCAAAAATCGTTCAGAAAATGTGTGCCTAATTTGTGCCACTATGATTTTTTTACTAGCGGTGAAATTGGAATTAGTGCTCTCTTCGCAACCTCAAAAACAAGAAATTTCTTTTTAGGGGTTGAAATGCAAAAATAAAAAATAAAATAAATTGCTATAACTGGCTGTGTAGTCATAATTTTGACCATTTAAATACATAATATTGATGTACACTTTATCTACACTTAATTTCAAGGCTGTACACTTTCACAAAATCATCGTACAC